GTTCTTTTATTTTGATCAAAACAAGTGCAATGTGGCAAGGACAAAATTTATAGCACAAGTACAGTACCAACCTTGTTCAACGCAGCGAGGCTAATGACCTTGACCCCGAGCCTGTTAGCCCTAAGAATGGCCTCTTCTATGTGCTTATTGATACCCTCTTTAGCAAATGGCAAGAAATACTGCAAAAACAAAACTATTAGTTAATGCATAATAAATTTCCTAGCAAGCTTCAACAATATGTGTTATAGCAAGAAAACGCAAGGCCAAAAAATTGAAGAAAATTAACCTGAAAGCCGAATCTTGGAACACTCCATGTTTCATGCAACCTGCCTCTGAGATTATAGAAAGAGATCAAGAAGGTCTTAGACCATGCCCACATCATAAGCATAACAATAAATGCCGGAGGCCAGCAAGCCAGCATAAAAAGCCTTGTCGTATAAGGCATTGAAGCAAAAGATCGTATAACAAATGGGGCATGTATTGAAGATGTTATATCCACCACATGAGCTAAGAAAACGAAATCAGGTATTTTCCTCCTGTATTTTCCTGCATGACCTCAAATCATTAGTTCTAGATTTGTTTATGCTTCTTCAACTCAGAAAAACAATAAGGAAAAACAAATGTAAGAATTAAGAGAGAAAAAGAAGATGATTTGCTGTGTATATTAAAACAATCCCGAAATTATATGTGATCAGATTGGCAAAAGGAGGCAAATCAGTTTTTCCTAAAATAACTTAAATGGGATACTGTTCAGTTTCACAGACTCTGATTAATAAAAGTCTTTAAATCCTACAATTTCCATAACCAAGTGCCTTCCATAGAATCGTTGTCACCGCTACAATTTCCATAACCAAGTGCCTTCCACAGAATCGTTGTCACCGCGCCTGCGCCTGTGCCCCACCGTCTACAACACTTTGAGGTGTATTTTTTGGCGAGAGGAGTCCATCAAATTTATGGAGCCGTGTGGTTACCATTGCTCATGGCAACAGTTACTGAAGCAGTGTATATTTATAGGCACAATTTGATACCCAGTCATGGCATTACTATTGTTTCGGGGTTACCTGCATTCGTGCTTGTTTTCTTGTGTAGTTCCCACGAGTTACTATTAAGTGTCTTCCATATTGCATCAAAGAATGGCATAAACAGGCAGAAGTTGGTGCCCCTGTCTGTGTGGTGGAGGCTGTGGTATCTGTATCACCACCAAACAAGTTATCACTCATCAATATAAGAATAGTTTCAGAAAAAAAAAAATTGTTCCAATAATAACACCTATATTTCGGGATTTTGTCTAAAAAATGAAGATATTTGGGTTGGATGGTGTAATGGGACATTGCACTTCTTTTCTCACCCTACTGTACTCCTTCGCCATGCCACTGATTGGCACACTGGAATGACATGAAGGTATGCAAAGAGACGGGACAATGTGTTCTTATTTATTTTTATTTTTTTTAGAAACGGGATATGACGTGGCTAAATATTATTTACGTGAACATCGCTTTATGTTGGATAAATTTTTCTAGTAAGAAAAATAAATTTGTAAGTTTTTTAAATTTATCTTTTTTTAAAAAATATTAATTATTAATTAAAAAGCATATGACAAGTATTTGTGTTAATAAATGCAAAAAATAAAATATTACATGTGGTTTAGTATTTTACTTAATTGTGTTAATAAATGCAAAAAATAAAATATGACATGTGGTTTAGTATTTTACTTTATATTTTGATTTGTCATTAGGTGTTAAAGAAAACTAGTTCATCTATAGTATTAACATTATTAAACTTGAATTTACCTAATTAAAATTGAATGATATAGATATTATAAATAATAATAAATTAAAAACTTCAAAAAATAGATATTATAGATAGTTGGCGAGTTGGAATTTTTAAAACCTATCAATCCAACCTAAATAATATGAATGCCTTATATTTTTTTTTTGTTTTTATATTTAATAGTTTGTGGATTAAGCATTTATTTTTATTTTATTTATAAATATTTCAACTTCTTGATTATTGTTAGTAGGCTCTATTAGAATTTTTTAATGTAATAAAAAAATAATTTGTCTATTTTATAGATGGAATGAGGGAGACAACTTGGATTTAATGATAATATAAAGTATGAAAATTAGATTTTGGAGATGTTATGATATCTACAATGCATGTAAGTCTATCTTTAAATATAAATTCAGGAAAAATTAATAATGTAAAATCAACCATGAATATTTATAATATTTACAAAATTTTTAACTCAATCCTATATATCCAACCCATTCAAGTACAAATAAAAAATTAAATGCGTTGGATTTATAATTTATAAAACGTCAAAAATTAAATTTAATATAATTATAAACTCAAACACTACCCAACTATATCCATAAATACCCTTATTATTTTCACTAGAAAACTATATGCATTAATTGATAATTTAAGAGAAATCATAGTCAAGCACAATTAAAGTCAAAAACAAATTCTACTAAGTCACTTAATTTGTTTGAAAAATGCAAGCACTAAGTAATAGATCGAAGCCTAGGTAGACACGATATTATGGTATTTAATATAACATACTAGAGAGAGAGAGAGAGAGAATAAAAAACAAAAAACCATATGTTATGGCATCTCCGCGAAAGTGTGAGGGCAAATATTAGTACTACTATTTAAATGAATAGAAAATATTAGTACTTACGTTGGAGTGTAGAGAAGATATCTAAGAGAGGGAAGAGTGTCAAACAATTGATGAGGAACAACTTCCACATTGCAATGCCCCAAGCATCTAAGAAAATCGAACACCAAGAGATACCCATAAATCATGATTCTTGATCCATTTCCCAGCATACAAGACCCAATTATTGGAAGTCCAACGACTGTAGTTAGAGCAAGATGCTCCAAAAAAGTTGCAGTTGCACCTGCATTACAAAAGATTAAATATCTTAATTATCAAGTAAAAAAAGAAGAAGTTGGAGGAGGAGAAATTCTGTCCACATGCATATGTAAATATTTGCTTTGCTTTTACCTGTAAAAGGGTGTAGTACTGGAGCAGAGTGGTGGATTGAATGGTACTGATTAAAGAGATAGCTTTTATGAAAGCATCTATGCACCCAATAGTATAGGGGCTCTGAAACTCCCACATGGAGTGACAAAATGATAATAAAACCTTCTGCGTTCCATAGAGGAACATTTTCAATAAATGGTTGGTCGATGTAACATGCCATGGATGCAATGAGAGCTTGAAGAAGTATGAAGTTATCCCTGCAAAAATAACCAACAAAAAGAGAAGCAGCTATCATTATGAATATGCCAAATCTAAAGATGAATATAAAAAGAACCCTCCTGGGTGAAACGCAGATAAGAAGAGAAGCTTAATTATATACCAATCCCACTCTTTGTCTATCTGCTTGAAATCATAGCCGTGTTGATTAATCCGGCGATTACATGTCAGGAAAAGCATGTTAACGTAACTACTCCACAATTGATGAAGAGATGATCTCGCAACACATATAATCAATATGTGGAGGCACCAATCATCCTTGAAGGAGCCCTCTAGAATCCTCGTATACAGCACTTTGGCAAGAAGAGGTCCATATAGCAGATACTTCATACAAAAGACACATGGGAGAGAAAAGAAGCATATCAACAAACTAAAAAACATCATCCATTTGTAATACCTAATAAAATCATCCATTTGAGCAAAAGAAATGGTTAATCAAGGACAATGTGAAAGTGCCTATACCTTATAAATGCCCAAGTTGTCCCAAGGCCAGGATGACAAAGCAGCTACCATTTCCCCCGTAAAGCAATTGATCTTCAACGGTTTTCGTCTATTTCTTCTTTAGTTTCTAAAGTAGTATATATCTCTCTTTTGCTGCTGTAAGCAGCTTTATCTTGTCGGAAAAGAAAAAACACAAGTCCCAGGTGAAGCACCCCTTCCCTTAAAGAAGATTTTTTTTTTTTTTTTTGGGGGGGGGGGGGGGTTTGGGGATTTGAAGGAGGGCCTGATCGTACTGGATATTAATGACTCATGTGGCTGGGGAGTGGGGTAATTCAGCTCACGGTTTGGGCCAAATTCGTAATTATATCAAGATATTGTTGTCGATTATGACGTTTCTTTATATCAGCTCACGGTTTGGTAGTTCGGCTCACTTTGGCAATAACTCTGGAATAGGACACCTCTCGTTAAGTATACATGGAGATATCGTTTAATTATTTAGATTTTAGATTTTTTAAAAAAATAGTTCAAGTTTTATAAATATTATTAATAAAAATTATATAATTATTATTTTTAGAACTCATAAGATTAATTAAAATATTTATAAATTGATTTAAATACTCATATTAATAATAAAAAAAAAACACACTTTTGTTACAAATGAATGCAGTATGTATCCCAATTAACATGGTTTGTTCAATTCAAAAACTAAATACAATAAAAATTGATATAATTTTAAATTTTAAATTTTATTCAATTAAAAAAATCAATTAATATAGAATTGATTGATAATTAAGTTTCAAAATTTATTTCAATTTGGTTTTTATAAAGTTATTCTAATTAGATGACTTGGATTGCAAGTTTTGGCATGTTAACCCGGCTTGACTCGAGTGGTTAGTGTTTCAATTTTTTTTAATTAATTTTTTATTTCATCATTAAACAATGGATTGATTGAAAATTAAATTTTATAATTTTTTGATTTTTTTATGGAGTTATCTCGATTACATGATCTAGGTTGCGGATTTAATAGGTTAACCCGAGTTTAGTTGTATTAATTTAATATATTTTTGTATTAATTTTTTTTTTTAAAATGTCATCTTAAAATATTTTTAACCAAATTATATTTGTAATGGTTGTTCGGTTGTCCTTGGACCCATGAAGTTAATTGGATAACATCACCAGAGAATATGTTAGCAATACCTATATATTTTTTATATTAAAAGTAAATAATCTAACCCGCCTTGTAAACCCTCAACCCAAAAAAATTACAAATCAGTGGTAATTACAATAATCTTCAAAAACAAAAAATAAAGTGGTAGATTAAAAGGGAGAATAGTCATAATGTGGGATAAAAAAAACCTTAGTAAATCAACTTAAATCTTAGATGAAATAAAATAATAAAATCAGTACGTGAAGTGGCAACTAGTGATTTAGTAAACTTCTAATCAAGTAAAATAATATTTTAAAAGGAGAAATTTTTATAAATTGAGATGAAAAGGTTAGAAAATAATAATGATAATAATAATAATGGAGTGAAATTTTAAATAAAGTAATGTATGGTTTTACATATAAGTAACAATGACTCACCAATATAAACCACGTGTAAATTCATGCTATTTCAACTAAAAATAGTGAAAATTCTAGGAAAGAAATATTGTTATGATTATAAATAGGAGTCTTCATTGAATTATTTTGAAAAATCATGATAAATTAATTAATGAAACAATAAGCAAATTATCTATTATGTAGTTTTATAATATCAATAATAACTCTTAGTATGACTGTCAGATCAAGCTGGAATTTTATAAAGAATCTTTTGACATATTTTTCTAACTTGGTTTAAGGTAGTATACTTTCTTAACCCTATATTTTTTCTTTCCAAGTACGTTTTTGTATCATCACTCAGATAATACACTTTCTAGCTATTTTTTTTCCTTTTAAATATACGCCTTTAGGCCCTGACTTCTAAATAATTGATAATTTCTTGATTTGGTAAGTCCACTACCTCATTTCTTTTTCTTTTTCTTTTTTATAAACTTACTATCTAAAATCTTTTGTGAGACCTTTTGTCGTAAGCATTATAAAGAGGAAGACAACTATCATGACTTATTTTTTAGTTATTCCCCAAAATCTATCCTTTTTTCCTTCCCTGTATATAATCAAGCTGGAGTTTTGAATGGAATTATGAGCTTAATCATATATTGTTTACCTAAAACTAGAGAGATAATACAGATTTAAGATCAAATTAAATAATTTTTAAATGAATATGCATAAAAATTTAGTACAGAAATATAATTATATTTTTAATAAACTAATTTGATTTAATTATATTTAAATGAATCAAATTAATTTTGGGGGCCTAATTTGGGCTTAATTGAGAAGATTGAAATTTTAGAGGATAAAACTAAATTTTTATAAAGTCAATTGATTCAAATTAATGGTAAAGTTGCAAGAAAATCAGAATTTTTGGATCAATTAAGAGATAAATTAAAGAAATTCACAGCCAATAACCTTTTTCAAAGAGATACCGAATTTTCAGGATTTAATTGGCTGAAATTAGTAGTGAAATTGCAAATGTAATGATAAATTAGAGGATAAATTAAAAAACATTAAAACAAAGGATTATAATTAAAAAAGAGTTAAAATTCAAGATTGATGTTAAAGTTTGATAAGAAAAAAATTAAAAAGAAAAGTATAGATTAAACTTCCATATATTTTTATATAAATCAAATTAATATTCGCGAGTTTCTCACATGGATTACATGCCTGGATTACATGCCTCAACGACTCCAATTAATTTTTAAAAATTTTATGAGCTAGAACAATAGACTAAACTATGCGGGATCCATTTAATTATTGATCAAAATATTAATTATTAATCATAGTATCTTTAGTTTCTGAATTAAAATTTCATGTCAACAGTTGCTATACTATTTTTTTCTGAGCTGAAGTGATTGTTCATCTTTGTTATATTAGCACTTTATTTAAAAAAAATTAAAGTTATATTAATTTTTTTAATAAAATCGCTTGACTTTCACTCACCACTTCAGTTAGAATTTGGATAGAGAACTAAATTTTTAATCTAGGGAGTCTTGTACCATTTAGCTAAACTAGCAAGACATCTCGGGGGCAAGCAGAAGGAAAAGAGAAGCAGGAGCAAGCTCAGGCAAACAAGCCAAAGACGTACGGCAGCTCAAAACTGTCGGAAGCACCTAAAGAAAGCATGCATGAAAAAGGCAAAAAAACAAAAAACGGTGGAATCTAAAGATATATAATAGACATAGCCCTCCTATATATGGTGGTACGTGTTGAACTAAAACCAGTAGATCATCACACACGATCACAAGCATAGAGAAAGCCCTACATATTCTCTGTGCAACTAGTCTAAATTCAGCAGCACGAGGACACTGAGAGACCAATATTTATCTGAGCGCTGACATATTTTGTGGCAGCTGAGCAAAACCATTGAAGCAACACAAGTCAATTAGTCTCGCGACCTATTAAGTATTATCTGCAGCACTTCATGAAGATGACGACACGTACCCACATGGAGTGAACTTGATGAGCTTCCTGCTCTTGCATGATTCATCCATGCATGTGAAAGGATATTTAGGGTGACTTGTGATTGTGTTGTCTTGTCTGTATTACCATTTTTGACCAGTAAAACTACATAGTTTGCAGCCAGCAGCTAGGCTGCAGAGCCGAAATCGTTGTATTGCAGCGCTCCCATCTCATTCTCATGAACCAAATATTTAAAGCCAACCTGTCGTCATACCACTTTTGTTGTAATCTAATTTTAATTTAATAGTTTTTAATTTAATTTTATAGAATTTAAAATATAAAATTAAAAAAATAAAAATTTATTTCGATAAAAAATATAATTTGTTAACTTGTATAAAAATTAAAAACTATAATGTACTTTTATTATTATATCATTATCTTCAAGATAATTTCTATCTTCAAGATAATGATAGTTATCTGTTTTTAAATTTGACTATTAATCAAATTTAAAATTAAAAAAAAAAACTTTGATTGAAACTTTATTTCTTATACGTGAAGGGACTTTGACACTATAAATACAGACCTTAGTATATACAAAAAAGAGAGGAAAAAAATACAGAAGAAATAAAATCAGTTTTCTCAACAACGAGCGTCTGCATCTATCTTCGCTCAAGAAGTAGGCAACATCAGTCCAACAACAGGTAGGTCATTTCATCCTCTTCTTTTCACTTTTAATAACCCTTTTCCTGTAGCAAGTGTGTGCGAGTAGCTCTTGCACGCTTGCAAAGAAAAATATACTGGTTGGGTTATGAGTCAGTAACCAGGCTAGTTTGGTTGGGTCTAGCCCAGCCCACATGGCTGGGCTTGATCCAACCCAAAAAGAAAAAAGGAATGGGCCGGTATGGGCTTTAAGCCCAACCTGCCTAAAATGTGTTTGCTAAAGGTGTGCTTGGCAAAACACACCCTTATGCCGTGGTCATAATTTTTATACCCATTCTAATTTGATATTCGACCAAACAAACTCTTTTTTGATAATATAAAATTTCAAAAATATTTGGGGGCCTTCATTGATTTATTTGTGGGTGCCTCACACTTTGTTTTATTTTTTCTTTGTGTTTGTATTTTTTTTTTGTAGGTGTGCTTAATCTATAGACTATTATTGTTAAATGCAAATATGTTGTGCAATGCTTTTTTTATTTCCATCTAAAAAGGACAAATAATAATAAAGGATATACAAGAAAAAAAAGACATAAAATTTCTTCTTCAAATTTATTTTTTGCAAAAATATTCACTAAAGCTAGAGTTCGGAGTATCGTATTTCTTTGGATTTGTGCGATATTTACCAACGACAGAGTTGAAAATATTCGTAGGAGTTGTTCATAGATGCTAGAGTTAGGAACATAAAAGGAAAAATTAAAATGAGATGCATTAGGGGAGAAAACTATGCATGATGGCGTATTTGTTCTTATGAGATTCATGTGGTCTCTAAGTGTTTTGACACGGTTATTCTCATTATGAAGCGACTGGGTAACTTCTTCATCCATATTTTCTGAAAATGATGAGGATAACCTACAAAATCTACCACTTATTGTAAGAGACCAAATTCTCATGCATGTGTAGGAAGAGAATAAAAGGAAGAAGAAAACAAAAGAAAAGGAAACAAAACAAAAGAAACAAAATTAGATACAAGAAAGGTGAAAA